CAGCTTTATCAGTAGGATAGCTACATTTTTAGCTCGGAAGGAGGGTTGCTAAATAAAATATAGGACACTTGGTTAAGTCTGAATTTCAGATAGACAACAAATAATGTGGATATATAACTTCATGTATAAATATATTCCATAGTTTTAATATGAATCTACAGCAATTATAAAAACATTGGGACAGAAATCATTTGCTATTTATCTGAAATTGAAGTTTAACTAGGCATCCTCTTAATTGCGAAATCCGGCAAGTTAGCTCAATGGGCTCCTAGGGTAGCAAATATAAGACTAGGCAAGAAAGAAATAGGGAAGAGGACAGGGAAAGGGGGCGGCCATCCTCACCCTAGTTGTTACATGTGGACCACAGTCAACAAATATTCATTAGGCACTTACTAGAACAGACACTGTGCTCGGCCCTGGGGTGCCCCGGGTGAATGTGACATGAGACCCCTGCCTCAAGGCATCCCCCGCAGGCATCTCAAGGCACTTCTGGTCACTCAGCAATTAATCTCAGAAATGTGACAAATGCTAGGAAGCCAGCCCAGCGGGATCTATCCTAGCATGAGTGGGTGGGGGAGTTGTGGCTATCAGAACCTGTGTCTCTACCTAGAGTGGGTTCTAGGAATTGCCTCTTTCTGGTTCAGAGAAATCCCCCCAGGGTAGCTGAAGACGGACTTCACACAGGGACACACATGCACACGCCCACACTCACACCAGCCCACGCCCTGCTGCCCCGACAACCGCTGGCTCTCCGACGCACTCCTGCCTCAGCAGCTTCACTGCGGCTGCCTGCTCGAGTCTTGAATTCGCTCTCCAGCTCCTTCCTTTGAGCTTGCCCCGCACTCTGATGGATTTGGCTGCCCTGTGCCCAGCAGTGCACCTCATAGCACTGATCAGCACCAGACGGCCTTGGGCTCTCGGAGCTGTGGGCACCCAGCAGGCTTCACTATTCTGCAGCCTGTCCAGCACCAGCCCCTCCTGGCTTCCCCAGCACTGCAGACAGCTGGCATGCCCCTCTGGCTGCCCTGCTGCTCAGGCTCTTGCCTCCTCTCGGGGTCTCCGCAGGTCTCGGTTGTTGCGGTCACCATGCTCTGCCTTCAGAGTTCCCCAGGGGGCTGCCTCTCCAGGCCCCACTCATTCATTCACTCATCAGGTGGCCTACGGGCTGTGTTTCCCATGACAGTCACAGAGCCACTGCTGACACAGTTCCTGGCACGTAAGAGGGTGCTCACGCGAAGACAACCCAGAGCTGACTGTCAGCGCACAGGAAACAAGGGCAGGTCCTTGCCGTGGGCTGCCAGCAGATAAGGAGACGTGCAGATATACAGCCCCAGTGCCATGCACAGGAAACCCTCCAGAGATGGGCAAGCCTCCCCCTTCAACCAGAAGAACTGTGAATCTCAGAGGGGTGGCGGGGGAACTCCCTGAGAATACCCCTTGGGCATAAGCCAAAGAGGCAGTTTGCTAAATGCTTTATGATTCAGGAGACAACAGGACCTCTGTAGACCCAACAACCACTCCACGAAGGGGCGACATTCCCAGGATCAGTATTCCAGAGCAGGGCCAGTGCGGGGGCCAACGTACACTTCTTGGTGACACTCCACCACATCCCTACGGTCCCTTCTCGTGTTCTCCTGGGATGGCAATTTGGATTTTGAGCTGCTTGCGAGAGAGAAGACCACATGTGGGTACCCCTCCCTCAGCAGCAGCATGTCAGGTACATGCAGGTTCCCAGCCCAGCTCGGCACAAGCTCCTGGCCTCCCTGAGCCTTCATCTCCCCACCTGGTTAAAGGGGGTGATAACACTCCCCCCTTCACCATATTGCCACCACAGAGATGGGATCATCCATGCCAAGAGCTCAACAGAGGCACCGAGCAGGTGCTCAGTGACTCCTGGTGGTTATTTTATGCCCAGTGCCTAACTCCTTGGCTGGCACAGAGTCATGGCCTCAGAAGGTTTCACAGATTAATGAACGGACAGCAAACAGGAGGATGAATCAGTTCAGGAACTGCAAGCCGTGTCCCACACGAGAGCAGCTGGGCACAGTCAGTCCGCATACTGGCTGCTCCAACCTCCACAGAGCCAAAGGCTCTGTTTGCCTGGCTGGCTTCTCTCCCGCTGAACTGACAGCTCGCCGGGTCTCCTGGAGACAGTCTGACAGCCCCTACGCTCCCGGGTTCCCTGGGCTTGTCAGTCAGACTGCTCAGTTTCTAGGCTGAGGCAGACTTCACCCAGGATGTTCTTCCAACAGGACACATTGCTGATCCTAATGCTCCCAGGCCATGACCCTGGGTGCTTCAGGAAAGTCGGGGAGAGCAGGACCCAGACATGCTCCACCTCACTTTGCCTGCTGGTCCGGTTCTGACTTAGGGCAGCAGCGATGCCTATGGGATGGGAAAAGCAGTTCTGTGCCCGAGGATTTTTACAACTGCTTCTAGTACATCAAAGCCTCGTTTTGAGTTTGGCATCCCAGTGCTACCAAAGAGGGACCAGGAACTTTGAACCCTGGCACCCTGTTGGCTAGAGCAGCCGTGATTCACACAATGCTCCAGTGACCAAGGAGGTATGAAAGGGCCTTACACACACTAAGACATCACACGACATTGTCAGGGCGGCAGAAGAGCATAGAGACTGGGGCGGGTGGTGCTTGGCAGCTTGGGGGTTGGGGTCCTCTGGCACCCACTAGCTGTGTAACTCTGGCCAATCGGTAACGTCCCTGAGACTCAGCTTCCTGATCAGCACAACAGGACTAATAATAGCACCTTCCACACCGGGCTGCAACAATGAGATGAGATAGTGCGTGCAGACTGATGCTTACGCAGTGCCCAGCACACAGGGAGTTCCCCATTCAGGCCTGCCCCATGGCAATGATGGGGAAATGACAACGGTGGTGATGGAGGTGGAGAAAATGGAGGTGGCGGGGAGGAGGGGGTAGAGACAGTAATCAGAGAGACAGGATGCCATGTTTAACTACTTCTGTATCCTGCTGTGAAGAGCCACTCAGCCATTTGCCTGATGAGGGGCTGAGAGCATACCCCAGGGCAAGTGGGCAGAACTCAGAAAATCTGCTTTTCATTTTGTTCCCTTACAGGTCCCCTGAGTGCAGGGACAGAGAGGAGGAGAGGCATCTGGGGTAGATCATGTGCACAACCAGTCTGTGTCGCTTTATAAGGGATGCCAGGCGTCACACTGGCATTCCCACACCACAGAGTCCCTGCATGTGATTTGGAAGCCATTCTCCGCCCTGCAGGGAACAGGACTCCCTCTGTCATGGATGCCACTGGGCACCAGGACATTCTGCCTGATGCATGGCTTGCCCATTTGCCCGTATCCTCACCAAGGCTCCCCCTTTAGGAACAGATGACCGAATGCCAGCTGAACAATGTACACTCCCCTCCCCCACAAAGACCTCAGTCCTGAGCTACCAACAGGGAGGTATATGCTTGGCTCTGTTTCCCCAGGACCCTGGGCTCAGTCACCCACACTCATCCAGCCCCCAGGGACCTATGATGAGCACCAGCTAATGGGTTACCTAGAGGAGGTGCCCTGAAGCCAAACCAAACAAGCTTCTTGGGGATCCACCCCAGGGCTTTAACTCTGGCAACCCGCACCAATAGCCCCACGAGCGATGTCTGCTTTCAATGGAGAAAGAAAATTAGCAAAACAGCCAAAGTGTGATGGGCTCGATGTTCAAAAATGCAGAAGCTTTGGCCCCATGACTGACCCAGTTCCCTTTCGGGTTCTGAGAATCTGATACCAGGCAGGCAAAGAAACTAAAGGAGGAAGAGGAAGAACTCTCATTGTGAATGGCTCGCTTCTCAGAATCCCTTCCACGTCTGGGGACCTGCAGGCAGCATGTGGGTCTGCACAGGAGTGAGCCGAGCTACCCCAGTGGGAGGGGGTCACGGCCTGCCTCCCTGCGCTGGGGGAGGAGGCTACCGTGGCCCAGCACCGAGCCTGACAAGTTCCATCGCTTGTGCACAGCTTGTCTCTCTCGGCCACTTAACATCCCGAAGCCAGATACACAGTGTGCATTAAGCAATGAGGCTCAGCACACATTTATGCCCCCTGGCATCCTCCCATCTCAGCTTGCTGGGCCTGGAGCTAGAAAAGGAAAAGGAGAGGGACCAGGAGACACAGGCGTGGCTTTGGCTATGCAAGCTTCCACTTCTCTACAGCATTTTATACGTTTGTTTTGGAGCCCGTGTTCGAGTTTCTTCTATATTCCTTTTCTCAGGTATTGCAGAATAAAAAAGAAAAATTGCTAGCCCTCATAAAAGGCCAACTCATTCAGGTCTCAGGTAACTCCACTTGGGTCAGCACCAGCACAGGACTCCATGCAGGCGGTCTATTTCCTCTCCCAGCCATGAGGTACTTGGTGCAAACGGGACAGTGAGGTGCGATTCCAGCCCCAGCGGGAGATGAGCCACATGAGGGACAGTGAGGACGGGGTGGAGTGGGGGGCCTATAGGAGGTGGCCAGACCCAAGGAGGACAGTACTCACAGGGCAGCGGTGGACCAGCCAATACGCCTTCTCCTGGCAATCCAGTGCGTACCTGTCCGCTCTATTCCTTTCCTTTCCAGCCCTGAAAACCCAAACACCATGTTAAAGGCCAGGTAGACTTTGCATCTTTTGGTCAGTGACAGGCCACATTCCTGATGACCCAGACCACCCTCCCAATCTGTCCACATAATCTGTTTGCCATAATAATAATAAAACCAGCAAACACTAATATTACACCTGCATGTGAGGCACCCTAAGTACTTTAACACATATTAACTCATTTAATCCTCCCAGTGACCTTTTCTCACTTTGAAGTTTGGGGGATTGAAGCAAAGAGAGGTAGCAGGCCCCACCCAGGGCCTCACTGTCAGCAAGTGGCAGAAGTGGGGATGGAACCCAGGAGTCAGGCCCCAGCACCCAGCTCTGCCTGAGACCTCCGTTCTATGAAGCAAGCTCGCCACCCTGACAAGCCCCACAGTAGAGCATGTCCCCCAGCTTCAAGGCCAGAGCGAGCCCAGATGCCGCTCTGGAATGACAAATGACCACCTGGCTTTTGAATTTTTCCCTGCTTTACTAGACCTCATAGTCAACATCTAGACGAGTGGGCAGCAAGCAACGGCAGAAGCCGTGATGGGGAGATGCCGCTCAGGGGGGTCCTTTTCTCTCCCTCCGTTAGCTCCTCTTTGTCACTTCGAACAGTTTGTTCCCCATCAGGGCTTTTCTGAGCCTGACTAATTACTGTAAGAGGTATTTCTTTTCCTTCTTATCTCTCAGCCTCCCCCTTTCCCATTATGGATAGAAAACGATGCCGTGCTTTCGTCCCCCAGGAGCCAGGCAGCATTCAAGATCGTTCCACAGGCCCCACTCAGCACCATTTCCACGGTGACCTGCGCTCACTGGTCATGCTTGTTTTCCCCGGGAACGTGCATGATGCACACGCCCTCTACAAGACAGTGTCGGCAGATTTATTTGCCAGCTAACGTAGTGTGAATAATACCATAACATGTTAACATCCAGAGAGCCAGACGGGTGGGGGGTGCCACTCCAGTGCGATGTTTTGCGGCCTCCTCTGGAAATTAAATGTAAACACTGGTGCTCTGACTTCCCTCTGCCAGCCTAACTGGATCTTCTACCAGGTTAACCACCCTGTGTTCTCAGGAGGATGGGCCACAGATGGCCCGAGGCACTGTGGGCTTTCATGATGCTGGACAGCTTTGTAAATAGGGTCTATCACTAACTCATTGCCATGGTTCTTTCTGGCTTCATGCTTCTGCTCTAACGTGACAGATGTTGGAAGGCAGTTGTGATGCATGGAACCCCAGAGAACCAGTAAATGAGGAATAACATTAGTTTGTCACAGTATGATCTTTTCTAGTAACGGTATCATTTAATCATTCATTTATTCATGCATTTATTCATCTCCCACTGTGTTCCAGGTTCTGGGAGTGCCAATGAAACAAACTGAATGGCTGTGTCCCCCCTAAATGTATGCATCGAAGCCCTAACCCCCAGTCTGACGCTATCTGGGGACGGGGCCTTGAAGAGGTAATTAGAGTTTAGAGGTCATTAAATGAGGTCAGGAGGATGGGGCCCTTATGCTGGGATTGATGCTCTGGTAATAGGAAATGCTAGAGAACTTCCCCCTCTCTTTCTCTTTCACAACAGGAAGGCAGCTGCCTGTAAGCCAGCAAGAGAGTCCTCACCGGAAACCAAAACCTGCCAGAACCTTAAGCTTGTGCTTTCCAGCCTCCAGAACTAAGAGGAAATAAATGACTTTCTCTCCCCACCCACCCTCCTCTGACACTGGGCTTAACCATATGAGCTCCTGTGGCCAACGAATCTGAGCAGAAGCAACGTGCATCACTTGTGACCTGCACAGGCTCTCGTTCCCTCTGTTCGAGCAACGGACAAAGCCCAGATGGTGCTGCCCCTTCAGCATGGTCCTGGGGAGGGCACAAAGTATGTGCAGGCCCCAGCCAACCCACAGGGGGTACGTGATGCAAGCAAGAAATGAACCTTGAGGTTTCATGCCCCTGAAAGGTGGGGGGCTGTTTGCTAGGCCAGCCCAACCTCATCCTGACTGAAACACCCTCCCCAACATTTGCATCTGGCTCTCATGCACAAGGCAGAGCCCTCAAGGGGACTTTCAGCTCCAGTTCTGATGTGGAAGGCAGGCAGTGGGCGGTTCTAACATGCAGCTTTGACCATACCTCCGCACTGCTTAAGGTCCTACCATGGCTCCCCAGTGCCCTTAGCACAAAGCCCTCTCTCGATCTGCTCCTGCTAACATCTCCAGTCTCACTTCTGCCGTGCAGGCTTTGCACTCCCTGCTCCAGCCACAAGGAACTGCACCAAGTGAGCACTCCCCCGCCTGCAGACTCGGGTTCTGTCTGCTCCCAACACCCTTCCTCCCACCTCACCTTTCCTCTCCACCCACCATCGCCATCCTTCACCTGGGCACCTGCTGCACAGCCTCCAGGTTCAATGTCATTTCCATAGTTCCTCCTGCAAACCCCTGCGTGAGGCTCACATCTCACTCTAGCATCACAGCCCGTCTGCTCGTCCGCGTGGCCCACCAGACTGCATCTTTATGTTCCCTATACCTCTTCCAGGGTTTAATACAAATATGCCCAATAAAGGTTTATTTTAATAAAAGGAAACAAAGAAGGAAGGGAGGAAGGAAAGCCATAGGATGAACGTGATCTTTCACTCACCTATACTGCTCTTTCGCCTGCATAATGACGAAGTCCCACTTGTAGTTAATTTTTTTGTTCAATAAAGTGTAATTTTCCTAAAGAAGGAAAACAAGATGAGAACACCGAGCCCACAGTGATGTACGCTGTGTGGAGGGAAGAAGGCCCTCCGTTGATGAAGACCTGCCCCAGGCTCTGAGGCAACGAGACCCACCCCAGCTTTGCAAAGGTGTTCATTCAAGGGATGGCACCAAATTCTCAAAAAACCTTCATAACCGAAGCCACAGCTTGGCTTGGCTTTTTTAAATAAATGTATCCCAGATCTGATGAGGAAGGGGAGGACAGGGCAGGGTGGGGAAGAATATGAGAGCTCAATGTTCAACAGCAGAGTCGTGATGCAAGCAAGAAATGAACCTTGAGGTTTCATGCCCCTGAAAGGTGGGGGGCTGTTTGCTAGGCCAGCCCAACCTCATCCTGACTGAAACACCCTCCCCAACATTTGCATCTGGCTCTCATGCACAAGGCAGAGCCCTCAAGGGGACTTTCAGCTCCAGTTCTGATGTGGAAGGCAGGCAGTGGGCGGTTCTAACATGCAGCTTTGACCATACCTCCGCACTGCTTAAGGTCCTACCATGGCTCCCCAGTGCCCTTAGCACAAAGCCCTCTCTCGATCTGCTCCTGCTAACATCTCCAGTCTCACTTCTGCCGTGCAGGCTTTGCACTCCCTGCTCCAGCCACAAGGAACTGCACCAAGTGAGCACTCCCCCGCCTGCAGACTCGGGTTCTGTCTGCTCCCAACACCCTTCCTCCCACCTCACCTTTCCTCTCCACCCACCATCGCCATCCTTCACCTGGGCACCTGCTGCACAGCCTCCAGGTTCAATGTCATTTCCATAGTTCCTCCTGCAAACCCCTGCGTGAGGCTCACATCTCACTCTAGCATCACAGCCCGTCTGCTCGTCCGCGTGGCCCACCAGACTGCATCTTTATGTTCCCTATACCTCTTCCAGGGTTTAATACAAATATGCCCAATAAAGGTTTATTTTAATAAAAGGAAACAAAGAAGGAAGGGAGGAAGGAAAGCCATAGGATGAACGTGATCTTTCACTCACCTATACTGCTCTTTCGCCTGCATAATGACGAAGTCCCACTTGTAGTTAATTTTTTTGTTCAATAAAGTGTAATTTTCCTAAAGAAGGAAAACAAGATGAGAACACCGAGCCCACAGTGATGTACGCTGTGTGGAGGGAAGAAGGCCCTCCGTTGATGAAGACCTGCCCCAGGCTCTGAGGCAACGAGACCCACCCCAGCTTTGCAAAGGTGTTCATTCAAGGGATGGCACCAAATTCTCAAAAAACCTTCATAACCGAAGCCACAGCTTGGCTTGGCTTTTTTAAATAAATGTATCCCAGATCTGATGAGGAAGGGGAGGACAGGGCAGGGTGGGGAAGAATATGAGAGCTCAATGTTCAACAGCAGAGCATCACAAATCCACAAAGATAAGCCCCAACATTGATGCTGGCTCTTCTAAAAACATGTTCGTAAAGAATAAAAACACAGCCAGATTGCTGCTGTCTGCCCAGAAATCTAGCCTTGAGAGGGCTAGGTGTGTTCTTTGAGAAATCTGACTCTTCCAGCCTAAAACAAAAGTCTATACTATTGTTTTATCATCACCAACTCCAGTTCAAATCTGTTCATCGTGTAATATGCATTATCGTGCATATTAATCATACTGTTGGGAGACAGCAAAGGAAGGTGGCGGTTACCGTGTACCCAGCAGCCACTGCGGCAAGGGCTTAAATTACAGCAGAAGAAAATGAAGCTTGACATGGGGAAGAATTTGCTGCAGCAAGATGCCTCTAAATAGATGGATGGATGGATGGGTGGGAAGATGGATGGATGATGAGGGAACACATGAATGCAGTAAGGGGAGAACAGGAGAAACAGCTCAAGACTACATTTCGCTCAGTTATAATAACATACTTGGAAGCACTTCTGTACCTTTTCATATTCCTCTAAAATCCCTTTCTTCTTTATATTTCGCTTGGCTAGATAGATGGCTGCAAAAGAAAACAATGACACTTTCCATCATCACCACATTTCAAAACAGCATCTGTGCACGAGGCTGCTGCGCTTGGCTTGGCGGCGAGAACCCTCAGCAGACACGGCCCCTCCCCTGAGGAATGCTCTCGGTTGAGATGTGAGCTGACATGAAGGGCATGATGACAGCACGATGAATGTCACCAAAATGCAGTGAGTAAATAAACAGTATTTGAAGCACCACCTAAGGTGTAACTGGGCTGGAGTCTTACCATAGTCTGTATCTTCAGCCGGCCACTGCTGGGTGGGCCAGAAATACGGCGTCTATGAAAGAAACCAGGAACCAGGCTTAATCACTGGGCTGTTATCTATTCAGGTAAGATGAATCCCATAGTTAACGTTCAAGTCAAGGCCCAGACTCACCTGAAATCGGTAGAGGCTGCTGTCAGGTTTGAGAATGAGATTCTTGGGGTCTTGGAGGGGGTAAATGTAGCCACACTTGACGATAAAGTTGCCCAAGTTCTGTGCCTCTGGGGAGCAGCAGTTTAGACATGGAAGTTAAGAGATGCGGCCAAAGGCAGAAGCTGAGTGCCCAGCCCCCAACAGTACCCTAAACTCGGGGAGAGGTGCCCCCCTCCTGACAGCATTGCATCCGAGCAGTGAGGACAAAGATCCCTGAACTTATCTGTGGGCAAGTACCAGCCGGGGTGCAGATGAACAGGATTCCCCAGCCTGAGCCCTGGGAATGACGGCTCAGAGAGTGTGGAGGGGCCATTGAACCCTCATGCCAACAGGTGCAACAGGCGGAGAGCTGCGGGTGTTTGGAGGTGCCAGTTGCGGACATTCTGGAGAAGTTTCTCTGGGCCCTTTGAGTCAGGAGAAGTTCCCCCAGAGCAGGGAGAGAATGTCTGTCTGACCAACGGACAAGTCCTCACTCAAAGCGAAGGCCACATTTTTTATCCGCTTCTATCCCAAGCTCAGTTCTGCCTGCATCCCAGGCCCGCGTCCCCTGGCCTCTCCCACCTCGCAGTGCACACACATCACTTCTTTCCAGACCAGGTGTGTGCATGCATTACCCCCTCCAAGAATCCGTTCTTGACTGACACTCCCCCGATGACCCTTGTTATTTACATGCTCTCAATATTTTGTATGAAACTACAATAGTCCCCCACCATTATCATGCCTCCACTTTTGATTCTGGTTATTTTACACATAAACACCTTGTCTCTCAGATTAAAGTGTCTATTTCTTAGAGACATAGGCTAAGCCTCCATTTAGTGTCTACCCTCCAGAGGTTCTTTCAAGGTGCTGCACCTCAAAACTGAGGGCCAAGCGAGCTCTCACCCAGACTGGAGACCCAAAGCCGCTGGGAGATCCACCGCAGAACGTCACTTCCTGCAAACCACAAGTATTTGGCCTCCGTCAGAGCCTCCTGACACATCCCCCCACCCTCGTGCCTCGCCCTCACCGCTGCCCCACTGCCTCCGGCTATGATCTCATTCCTCTCCTGCTCACAACTCTCAGGGACTCCCCTCCACCCGCTCCTACCACGTTCAGCCCCAACCCCGCAGCCCGTAATTCAGAGCCATCCATGATCTGACTCTGTCCTCCTGGCACACCCTCGATCTTTAGCTCTCTTGTAGTACTTATTTTCTTTCCTTACAGTAATTTGTGCATGGACCATCATTCATCAAGTAGGAAGTAAAAGGACAAAGTCTTAACCTCGAACAAAACCAACCCAAGGTGAGCTGCCTGTGTGGCTCCAGATGCATGGGAGTAAAGAAGAACCAGGGATGGGAGGAGAAGCGGGGGTGGGCTAAGGGTGGGGGGCTGGTTCTCCTTACGCCCCCAGGTTTCCAGGCAGAACTCTCAGGAGTCAGGAAATTCTAAACTCAAACCTGGCCTTCCAGGTCATTGTGAAGGTATTTTTGTCAAAGCAGGAGGATGGGACTTATTTTTAGTTACACTTTGTAGGCTGTCCGATTCATTTCAGGCAATGAATGTGGCTCCATTTGTACTCCTGCCCTGGGTCCTGCAAGTCTTAGGGGCCTGGGAACAGTGCAAAGGCTGGTGTGAAAAACAGCAGGAGAGGCAGACAGGCATGAGGTGTGCAGAGAACGAGAGTGCGCATCCCCTCTGCTCATCCCTCGAGGATTCAGATCTTCCTAAGGGCCAAGCCCGGTTCCACCAAGTCCAGAGCTGCTGCACGATGGAAGGAAGCTGTGCACCTCGTCCGCACTTGGGCCCCCCAGCTCCATAAGCACAACATGACCCTGTCCATCTCGGGAGAAAGACAAGACGTCCCACAGCCAAGCAGCCCAGCTCAGATGCCATCCTGCAAACACCACACAGCACACGTTGCAGTAGTTCCAGCCTGCTTTCCAAAGGCCAAGCTGGGTCCCCTCCCCACATGGCAACTGCCCGACAAAACACACCACTGCCCCTGTCCTGGAGGCTGGGCTGGTGTAATGACACTTCCCTCCTTGGAGGTAGGAGAGGGGCATTTCTTCTGGTGCCTTCCAGGGAAGGCCCTTATGGCCCCTCACACACTCTCCAGGTTTAACTACCTGCCTACCAGCATGGCTGAACACAGACAGCCTGTATCTCTTCCCTTCCCACCCACACCCTGGAGCCTAAAATGTCCAGCCATTATCTGTCAGGACCCATACGCCCAGCACGGTTGCTTTCAGTGAGGTCTCCTCTGTTGCTCTTAGCTTTATTCAGCCCTTGTTGGCCATTCAAAAGCAAAGTTCTTCATCTAAAATCCTACTTAAAGTCTTAGGCCTGGGGGTTTTACACTTTCCATCCCAGGTCTCTTTGAATGCTGCACAGTGGTATGCAGGCCGAGAGAGAGATCCAGTCGGACAACAGACTGATTAGCGCTCTCCACCAAGGAGCAAAGGGTTTCTCATCCACTTGACTGCTTCCTGAAATAGATCAAATGAGACTATGGGGCCACCGGCATCTGCACCACGTGGTCTGTGCTGACAACATAGCAGCCCCCACGCCAGCCACCTTTGCCCTGAGAAGTCCGAGGTCACTTGCCACCCCAGGAGTTGGATGGCGGTTACCCGATTTGCTTTCACTAGTACTGACGCTGCAGAACAGGAAGTCTTGCTCCCATAGCAGCTGGAATTCACTAGTAGGAGGAACACAGGAAAATGTGGCAGGGTGGGCAGCCTCACCCAAACCAGAAACCAAGTGTGCTGTGTGTGCAAGGGAGGAAAGCAGCTCAGGCACCTTGACAGTAGACAGAGTGTGTGTGCCGGGCTCAAAGCCACGCTCAGCCACGATGAGTTCAGTACCATGGGACAAGTTGCTGAACCCCTTTAAATCTCAATGGCCCCCATCTGCAAAAAGGGGATGGTCATATCTATCCCTAACTTCACTGTGGGTATTAATTGGCACAGTGGGGGAAGTTGCTAGGTGTCAGCACCCACCAAGTGTGCACTGCAGGCTGACCAGTACACAGCACTATCTCATTTAAATCCTGCACTTGTCCTCCTAGACACGGACTGCTATTCCTACTTTTCAAATGAGAACATCGAGACTAGGGCTACACAGCTAGAAAAAGGCACAGAAAGGATTCACTCCCAGGATGCCCGACTCCGCGTCCAGTGCTCTTTGCACGGTGCTAGCCCAGGGCTGATGCACACATTCAGTAACCTTCTATTAAACATTCACCCTGACCCACAGCTCTGCTAATCACTGGGCTACCTAGATGAGCAAGATGAAATATTTCCCCAGGAGAGCTCCCCAATCCAGCAGAGAATTCAGGCCAAAATGAATGATGGCGAGGAGAAGAGAGGGGGCAGGGGCAAGGGTGTCTTCAGGAAGAACTGCCACAGTTGCATCTCAAACACTAGGGAAGAGCCAAGGCTGCCTGCAAAGTCCGCCCGTCCATCCCCACTCTGTGGGTGCCCAGGCTACTCTGGCTCCTAGCCTTCCCCAAGTCTGGTTCATCAGGGTTCCATTCTCTTCTGTGAGCTACCCTGTCGCATTCCAGTGAGTTCCCCCTCTGCTCTGGCTAGCCAGGCTGGGTCAGCTGTTGCTTGCACTTCAGGAAGCCTGAGTGACACATTGCTGGTGGGAGCGTTCCTTCTTGCAAACAGTCAGAAAGGGAAACGGGGGACTATGACCCAGCTTGCCCCTGCAAAGGCACTCTAAGGCACCTTGAGTGAAAAATAAATGGTCGGCTCATGGGTGGGGTAGACAGTGAGGGTCCCCAAGGAGCACAGCACAGCAGAGAGTACCAGGATTGAGCTTCGAGAAGCTGTCTGCTTCTGCCGATGCTATGTGTCAGTAGGAGACACCCTCTTTACAGCAAAACCAGAAGCATAAGGCATATGCAACACATTAATCAAAAGGCATTCTTATTTTGGGGTCTAGTCCCTTCTGCCAATATCCTTGAATGATGTTCTCCAAGTCCTTTACCCCACACCCAGAAAGAGAACAAGGGCTCCATCCCGTGGATGCTAAGAAGGGGCTGAGTATGTTGGAAGGTAGAGAAGAGTTGAGCAAAGTCCAATTTTTTTCTGCCAAATAGCTTTTTTTTCAGCTACCTTATTTCATTAAAACAAACCAAACAAGGCAAAAAAAAAAAAATGTGACAGTAAAGTTTTTTAAATGACTCCCTGGAAGCAATGGCTTCATGAAGTGACCTGTGGAGGCCTTTCTCCTTCCTTGCTAACCCTGTTCTCAGAGGTAGACTGTGATCCGGAAACCAGCACTTACTCTGTAAAGGGATGGAGAGTAAACATTTTCGATTTTGTCATTCATAATTCAGTCTCTGCACAACTATTTAACTTCGCCATTGTAGATATAAGCAGCCAAAAACAATACATAAATAAGAATGTGGGTATGTTCCAATAAAACTTTATTTACAAATACAGGCCACGGGCTGACCTTGGCCAGCCAGTTATAGTCTGCCAACCCCTGCATGTGGTCTGTTCCAGCCCAAGATTTAAATCACAAGACACAGTACCTGTCATGGCGTGAGGGACGCTGGTGACCAGGACCTTCTGGTTCTGCATTCTGACCCCGGTCTCTGGGTTCTGCATGTCCTTCACCAGTGCTTCAATCTGCAAGACAGAACCATTTCAAAGGCTGAGTCAGGCCCTTTCGGCAGCACTGAGGGACCACAAGATGCAAAGACGAACACAGGGAGTGATAACCAGGAGCTTACAACCTAGATGGGCACTGGTACTGAGGAACTACGATGCACCCAGAATTCACTGTGTGTTTCACAGACACAAACACCCTCCCTGGTGTGGGAGCTCAGAGAGAATAATTGTCACTTGGAGAGTCAGCAGAGGCTTTTAAGGGAAGATGGGGCTTAACAAAAAAAGACTGTGCTGGACAGAAACTGAGAGGATCACACGAGCAAAGGCAGAGGAGGATGGCAGCGCCCAGCAGGGGACAGGGACAGAAAACAGCGAGAGGGGAAGCTGGACAGACAAGAACACTGACGTACGAAGACGCGTGCCAGCATGACTAGGAAGCAGGGAGAGGCGTTCAAAGTTACTGTAATAGTCCCAGCAAGAGATGAAGGGGCTTCTGCCCTCGCCACTTCTACCCCTCAGTCTATTCTCAGCAAAGCAGCCAGAGTGAGTTTCAATTATTTCACAATGTGTCCCTTCTCCACTCACAAGCCTGAAAGGCCATTCCACTCAAAGGTCCCCTTCTGGACTACATGGCCGGGACCCCTTCCTGCCTGCCTCTCCTCTTACCTCTGGAGTCCACCAGGCTCCCTCTGATCCAGTCCACTGGCCACCTTGCTGCTCCCTGGCCATGCCAAGCATGTGCCCAGCCTCCTGCCTCAAGGCCTTTGTTCTGGCCATTCCCTGTGTCTGGGCCACTCTTCCCAAGAGATGTGCATGGTTCACCCCCCACCTCCTGCTACACTAATATTCTCATAGGCCCACCCTGTCCATCCTTCTTAGTGCTACAACCTTGAACTGTGCCCCTGGTATTCCTGACCCCCTATTTGCTTTTCCTAGAGCATTCACATTCTAACGTAGGACACTGCTTACCTATGTATCACATGGTTTATTGGGTATCTCCTTTGTTCCTAGAACGTAAGCTCTTCGAGGGTGTCTTTTGTCTGTTATTGTTCAATACCATATTTCGGCTGCCTAGCACAGCGCCTGGGACAAAGGTTGTACTGGATAAACAGCTGGTGCATTGATTAACAAATAAATGAAGTGGCAGGGAAGATGATAAGAAGGCATGGCTTTTAGAGCCCTGGTTCTAATTCCAGTTAACTAGAAATAACTGTACTTGTAAGTGACTGGCTGGTTCAGGAAGGATGGCAAAATTTGTACCTTTGCAACTTACATGTTCAGAGCTGCCAGTTACCAAAACAGAAGACACAAAAGGAGCACCTTCTGAAAGCAAAAGCTGCTTGGGAATGCTGACTGTGTAGGGCTGCTGAGGTGTGCACAAGGAATGGCAGGTAACTGGAAATGAATGTCCCAAATTCATCAGGGCCAGAGATATAAATTAAAGTCATGGTATCAAAGAGAGTTGAAGCCAAAGAGAATCAATGAACTGTCCAAGGAAGACTGAACTGCAGGAGACATCCACAAAGACAGCCCTGATGGTCTTTAGACCATTTTAAACTTTTTGTTACTAAAATTTTTCCATGTGAAAAAGTTAAATGGAAATAAAATCAACTGAAGGATATTTTATAACAAACTGGATGGGTGGCAAATTACAGAAAGACAGCCCAAGGGTTTCTCTTATTACCATTTGCAACTGGCATTGACAAAGCTTCACATGCAGAGGTTTCAAACTTCATGTTCCCTTAAGCAACCCCTCACTGAAGGAGAAACCGTGAACTCTCCCAGGCCCTGTGTGCGCTCAACGGTCAGTCAGTCATTCAACAACCAGGCAGTCCTGGTTGACTCTGAGAAACCACTCATGCGGCCCCTGAGCCCAAGGAGCCCACTCTCTAGTGCAAGGATGTTACAGGACAATACAGGAAGTACAGTGACGAAGGTGAGTGCATAGAAACAGCAGTGCCAAGAGACAGTCAGGAGTGCGGGGCACTCCTGCAGCGAACTCTGAAAGGTGAACAGAAATTAGGCAGCAGAGAGGAAAAAGGTTGGTGGCCGGGAACATTCCAGGCTCAAGGGCAACAGAAACACAGAATACGAATGAGCAAGTGCGAACAGAGGCTTTTCCTGTCCTCTAGCCAGAAGCCCTCTCCCATGTACAGCTGGCACATCCTTGTGGAGGGCTGCACTTCAAACCCAGCCCACCACACTCAAGCCTCTACCCAGTCCACAACAGCTCACCAGTCCACGTGCTTCCTCTCGAGGTAACTAACTTGGCTATATTATCATCATTCTCCTCCTATTTCAGAGAACACTTCCCAACACAGTACAGCCCTTCACAGTTTCCTGAGTCCTTTAAGGACTGCGCTTGTGGTGCAAAGAAAAGGAAAAGGAACTGGTGGTCTACAGACCATCAGAGCTGTTCCACAGCTTCAGTGAGGTTTCCTTGCTTTACCAACTATAGGATTTCATTTATCCCTCTGAATCACCTTCCTCTACTGTTACATGGGGACATGAGAGTATGTGTCCAGCTAGTTAACATGGTTTTGTAATCTCTTAGAATCTAATTAAGAAATGGTGTCAAAATGCTTTATCAAGACAGATATATGTTATATATGCACAAAGATATATAAGCATAAATAAGGATACTTCAGGAGAGATGTATGTTAGTGGTTATGATTAGAATCATTAATATTAGTAGCATTCCTACAATTAAAGCATCTTTGAAACTCTGCATGCAGGGCTGTATTTAGATGCCTGGGGAGGGAACTCTGCTCTACTAACCATTCAAATATAGGTATTTATTGAGCATGTATTAAGTGCCCAGCACTGTGAAGGATACAACAAGGTAAAGGACATACTACTGTCCTCGGAGAACTGGAAAGACATTTCTATGAATATTAAAAGTTAACTAAGACATGCTAGGGACCTGCAGTCAGAAAAATCTCAGTTCAAATCCCTGCTTCAATGTACAGACTAGAGAAATTGCTAAATTTCACTAAGACTCACTTCTGTGTAAAACAGATTATAACAGTACCTACATCATCAGAGGTGTGTTGTGAAGATTAAATGAGATTCAGCATTTAAAGCACTTAGTATCATGCAATGCACAAAACATTTATTAGATAGCCACTTCATACTGAATTTGCACCAAAAAACAGGGAAGACACTGATTGGAATAAGAGGAGATTGGAAAAGGGCAGCATTTCATGGGAACAGGGACCCAGATATTGGAGAAGAAATAGAAACCGCCTTGTGAATGAGGAAAGGAGAAGATGGCTGATGATCCCCAAGGAAGTGTGCACAGAGGGTGAGCAGGATTTTCCTCATAGAGGGCGAGTGAGGAAGGGGCAGGATGGCAGGAGAGGACCTCGGGCTTCTCTACACAGGGAAGTGAAGAGAGTGAAATTGGAACCTTTGTACATTGTTGATAGAAATGCAAAATGGTGTGACTGCTATGGAAAATGGTATGGAGGGTCCTCAAAAAATTAAGCATAGAATTACCAACAAATCCTATTTCCGTGTATTTATTGAAAAGAACTGAAATCAGTATCTCGAAGAGATGTTAGCACTCCCACATTCACTGTCACACTGTTCAGTTACCCAGATGGGGAAATGACCTCAAAGTCCGTCCAGGGATGAGTAAAGAAATGTTAGATGTGGCCTATCATACTGTGGAACATCATTCAGCCCTTAAAAAGAAGAAAATTCTGCAACACATAACAACATAGATGAACCTGGAGGACATTCTGCTAAATGAAATAGCCAGTTACAGAAGGACTGCATGATCCGCTTATGTGAGGTATCTAATAAACAAATACATAGAATCAAAGCGCAGAATGGTGATTGCCAGGGGCCGTCTGCGGGAGAGGGAATGGGGGGTTGCTCATCAGCAGGCAGGAAGTTTCAATTAAGCAACAGGAGCAGGTTCCAGAGATCTAATCTTCAATACAGTACTGATAGTTAACAGCATTGTTGGTACTCTTAAAAATTTAAGATTCTCATGTGAAGTGTTCTTATCACGGTGAAATGAAATGTTTAAAAGAAAGCATTAGATATTGACCCAGTTGCTTTGGAGGTGAAGGGTCATGCAGGGGAGCCCTGAACTGGAAAATTCCACCTGCCACTTCCCACTCGGCCAGCCTGCTTCTGGCTGGAAGGCTCCCGCCTTCCCAAAGAAGGAAGGAATGTGGGACAATGTCCTAAGTCAACACTGAGGGCTGGGATTTCCCATTTCAGTCCAGTGCTAACCCAGCATTTAGAGCCGAACCCATCTCGAGGAGCGGCCAGGATCAGATACAAGGTCAAGGCTGATCCAGGCACAATGCCAGCTTCTCAGCCAGCCTGGGAGACTGGTGCGACCCATGTGGTGCCCAGGGCTGCTCGTGCAAGACAGACAGTGAGCATCCTCTGAACCGACACTTTCTTGGCTTACAAAATTGTTCTGGAACAGGAACTATTCTTTTTGGCACCACTGGAGGCTGCAGTCCTTGGCCTCCTGCGATGTCAGGGCCTGGCAGCGTCTCAGGTCATGGGGTCAGCCGAGCAGCCCGCAGCAGGCAGAGGAGCAAAGAGATGACCTGGCAGGGTGCTGGAGGGGGCAGGGAGGTGGAGGTGGCCAGAGAACAGAGGAGCCACGGGCTGCAGGGGTCCCTCCATCCGGAGCTCTCAACTGACTGAGCAGGGGGCCTGTATGCGGCTCTAAGAAGCGCCTGACTTTCTGATGAGAGGCCCAGGCCTTTGCTTTCCCACATTTGCTGCCAGATGAAATTCCACATTTATTCAAAAGAAAATTCTGGATGAAAGGGCAGCATTTCATGGGAACAGGGACCCAGATATTGGAGAAGAAATAGAAACCGCCTTGTGAATTAGAAAGTTCCTCTGATAGAAAGTCAGTGGGTTTGATTCCTTCTCTTCACATTAAAAAAAAAAAAATTGGTTATAAAGAGTTTCAAAATAATCTTCAGAGGAGGAATAATGAGAGTTATTTTTAAAACACAGCGAGGAGCCAGGTCTCGTTGTCACAGGTGAGTCCCCCTTCACAGCGCAGAGGGGTGGGGGCGGGGACAGGGCATCACACACCCCTTGGAACGGTTCTGGCAAGTTCGGCTTGCTGGGATTCGATAGATTCTTCTTAGAAATTTCCTCTCATAAACTCCTCTGACAGGTCTCCCCACTCACCCAACAAAGCAACTCTGAGGGACTCCGCTATGAGCTTAAGTGTGTCCCCAAAATTCATATGTTGCAGTCCTAACCCCCAGAACTCCAGAATGGGACTGTAGTTGGAGACAAGGTTTTTGAAGTGGTCATTAAGTTAAAATGAAGTCATTAGGATGGCCATAATCCAATATGACTCGTGTCCTCACAAGAGAAAATTAGGATACAGACATGTACAGAGGGGCGACCATCTACACGCTGAGCAGAGAGGCCTCAAAGAAGACCCAGCCTGCAGACACCTTGACCTCAGGCTTGTGGCCTCCAGAGCTGAGAGGAAATAAATCTCTGTTGTTCAAGCTGCCCAGCTTGGGTCCTGCGCTGCGCGGCAGCCCAAGCCGACTTACACAGACCCTGGGTTCTGTCTTGCACCCCAGTCAAAAAAAAACCCTTTGCCCATCACAGAGAGACTCTGAATTGTTGCCCAAGTTCTCTAGAGAGCAAGAAACCTTTGCCTTTCTGTTGCAAACTGCTGCCAACTCTCACACCCTCCTCCTGGCGCCCCGTGGGCGTCCCTCCAGAGTCGAAGGAGAGGCCACCCATCCCCACCCGCAAATGTCAGGGCCCACTCCTAACCAGACTCAGCTCCCCGGCACCTCCCAAGGAGCCAACTCTCCCTCCCAGGCAACAAAAAAATGCTGCCGAACCAGGCCTTGCCGGACCCCATCTGACCCCGCACTGGGGGAGCCCAGGGTGTTAGCCCCATGTTTCCTTCCTCAGATGGCAACGTGCTGTGGAGTGATCACAGGTGTGTCAGGGAACCCTGACATCACAAAAGAGCAGAAATGATTGCTTTGATGGCCTCAACAACCCACCCTCCATGCCCACGCTGCTCCTCAAATTAAGGAGCTGCCACTCACTGTGCAAGATCCCTGGGCTGGAATTTTCCTTTAAGCCAGAAAAGGCTCCCCGAGGGGATGATAATAATCAGTACTTTTCTGTACAAAGATGGGAAAAGTGACCCAGAACCACAGGTTGTTTTGCTAACAGAGGAGAAGGTGCTCCTGCTAATAAGCCTGGCCACCCAGGGGCCAGCTGGCCTCCTGGCATCTCACCCTGAAGTCTCCACACCCTCACGAGCACCAAACTGTAATTAGTACTTAGTACTCTTTCCCCCAAACCTGCTCTTCCCACCCTGGTTAAAAGCACAGGAAGCATTCCAGTTGAGAGTGGCCAATCTGTGTTGATTCTGCTTTGGTTTTTGAAGTGTCTCTTATCTGCCCACTGAATCCTGCCTCATGGGAATACTGAACCTCTGGACTGTCAAGTCCTGCCTGCCTGGCATCTGCCTTAGGACTGGCACATCTGCAGCCAAGGGTCCTCAACCGCAGCATTACTGACATGTTGGTGGGATCACTCTCTGCCTCGGGGACTGTCCTGGGCACTGCAAGAGACGCCCCACTGGATGCCTGAAGCACCCCTCCCAGTCTGACAACCCAAATGCCTCCAGCTGCTGCCCAATGTCCCCAGGGGCTTTCATCTCTAGCTGCACAAATTACCTGGAAGCTTTTTTAAAAACACCAATGCTAGGGCTCCACCCCTACTTAATTACTTAATTACCTCTTAAGTAAATCAGAAATTCTAAGGATGGTGATTTGATCTTAGTATTTTTTTAGAAGTGCAGCCAGGATGGAGACATACACATACCTTGTAATCAGAATCCTCTTTCTAGCACATGAACAACTCCTTTAATTCATCCCTGATTTTAAAATGTCAAATAGCTTCTTGTTGAACACAGAAAATATCAAACTCCTCAGCTCAAAATACAAAGACCCCCGGTCCTAGGCACTTCTTAACTACTGGCCTTTCTGTCTGTCAGTCCCCTGCCCACTCTGGGTCAGCTATCCCAACCCCTGATGACTCTCCCACACCACCAGGCTATTTCACATGTCCGGTGTCTTGTATTTGTCTAAAATGTCAGTCATCTTCCCATCCTCCTGCGGCGGCAGGAGTGGAATCCTAACTTTTTGTGCCTGAAACCCATTACAAGCCCCCTTGTGACAACTGCCCTGGCTCCGCCACCCCGCTCTGGGTTATATCTATCCCCGCTAACAGTGTCTGCCATGACCTATGACACTTTGCGCCTTACTTACACGTCTTTCTGTTAGACTCTAAGCTGCAGGAGCAAGGGGCCATGTCATAATCCCCCTGGTGTCCCCAGTGGTTACACACACATATTGAAAGAATGGCACAAGCACACGCTGCCATGTTCTGTCTGGTCTCCTGATAGCTGTGTCTCTGCACTCCCTTCCCAAGCACAAGAGATGCCAGGAGCCACAGAAAAGCAAAGCTGTCCAACAGAAGGCTTCTCCACATGGCACCCAGAAAGCCAGTCCTACAGTGAATCTCCAGGGCAGCAGCAACTGGCACTGGCTGGGGTGGTGATCTGGAGGCACAGAGGGGCCTGGGCCAGTGCTAGAACAAGAGGCCACGGGCGCCGGGGCCCCAGGCGCCAGTCCACAGTGTCTTCACGCACACACACCTGGCACATGCCACTCCCTCTGCCTGGAATGCCCTCTCTCTACCTTCAGTTCTCAGCTCCACCAGGCACATTTGCCAGGCGCTCCCACAGCCTCCACTCTGCCATACCTCACAGAAAAGCTCACAGCATGTATGTATCACAGCTGGTGAGAGATGACAGGGCGTCCTGCTTTTTTCCCAGTTCTACCATTCATGGGCTCTCTGACTTCACCTCTCTGAGCTTCCTTTTCCCTCTAAAATGGTGATAATAGCTTCTTTCAGACCAGATGAAATAAGGCCCCACTGGGGACACAGCACACTTCATCGCAGTCACTGACTATTCCACTGAGGATTCCTCCTGTGGTGAATGAGTCACACCCAGGTCCACAGTCCTTTGGTCTGGGTCCTTCTCCGGAAGGCTGGACATCTAGTTCAGGTGGTTCACCTTTAAGAGCCGCCTGGCCGAGCTCTTGAGAGCTGCCCTCAGGAGCTCTGTGACCGCCTGGGAGCTCAGCCTACACAGACAGACGCCCCTCCACACAAGGCACAGGGGAGAGCAGTACTGGCAGAGTCCGTGGGGCAGAGAAGGAAGTGGCTCTGCTCCACGGCACCAGAGAAACGGCCTTCACAGAGCAGAGGCTGCTGCGTGGGGCCGGGGAGGTGGGGCAATGGGAGGCTGGCAGAGGAGAAGGGGAGAAAGGATCTTCCCAGTGGAGGACACTGAGGCATGAAAGGACACAGGGCTCTAGAAAGGGGAGGAGGTGGTTGAGGCCAGAGCCCCACTGGGTACCTGTAGCTGCTTTGTTTTGTTACTCTGGAGGGCAGGTATGCAAGGCCAGTGGGAGGCCAAGCCGGAGAGGTGGTCAGAGCAGGCTCCTGAGGACAGGGCTGAGAAGGCTGGCCTTTCTCCTGTGAACATGGAAGCCAGTGGAGGGTTTCAAGCAGAAGAGATCAGCTTTTGTTTAGGAAAGAAAACAGCACGCTTTTGAAGGCTATCATGGAGGTAGACAAGCTGAGGTGGAGAATGGGAGGTTGGAGACCAAGATACCAGTCAGAAGGCCAAGGTAAAGAGAAGAGACACTACCAGGTGAACAGTCGTGGTGGAAAAGAATGTCCAAGACTCAGAAAAAAAGGGAATATCTCTGGACAATCACTCTCCTCCAGAGATGCCCTGTCTGGGAGAAGAGGTTAGCCCCACCCTAAAACCCTGAAAGATTTAAGGCTTTCAGAAACCAGGATTTGGTAGTTTCTTCTGCTTTAAGGAACTGCTGTCTGCAGTGTAGGCTCTCAGGTTCTTTCTGAGTGAGACAACATTCCAGCTGTTTTGTGGATGGTCCTCACACCTTTCCTGCATGTCACATGCACAAGCTTCTTAAAGTAGGTGGACCGAGCGTGGCCACCTGCCCCTGTGTGCCTGGGACTCTCCAGGTTTCAGCACTAAAAGCCCTGGACAAACCAAGACCCCTGGTCACTGACTGCACCAATTGCTGAGCTCAGGGCAGGGCTCGTATTGTCACAGGGCATTCAGCTAATTCTACTTAGCAAGATAAGCCTAAGAAGGTGGACAGCACACTGTGAAAAGTAGCTGCGGATGGGACGAAGGGTGAGGAAGTGGCCTGGGACATAATCCTGTCCATCTCTTGCAACTAGTTGACTCAAAAGCCCTGAACAAAACAAGTCACTTCGCCCCAAACACATCACACACAAGACGTATTCCACCTCCCACATGTCCACAGGATGGACACCCTGTGCCTGGCTGCTTGGTCTGAGAAAGCCTGTGCAAAGGATGGGAAAAGGTTCTGACTTCTGCTGCCAGCATAGAGACAGGAGATACACAAAAACATACTTGAATGAGGAATCTAGGCTAGTGGGGTTTCCCTTTATCCTGCAAATCACACCATTTTCATGGTCGGTATGTACACACCACGCACACACTTACTCTAAAATACTGCCGTTTTGAATCCGAAAAATGGCAAAAATGTTAATTTAACACCTGGACGCCTTGTAAGAATCCCAGGGCTCTGTCTCAAATCTGACACAGCCTGGGATGAACTGCCTTCTGTCACCCTCCTCTCCCGAGTAACAGGTTGTTTTCCGCTTCCAGCACACCATGGCCCCTGGCTTCCGATTCCCCACTACAAACAAATTACGGGGAAACCTAATCATTATAGCCTTTAAAAGACACACACTGGGCGGTACGGCACCAAGCGGCACGAACGGACAAGAGATGCCCCCCACTGCTCGCACGCGCTCCCAGCTCCCCGACATCTCCGCGGACACTTCCCAGAGTTGGGTCCCGGCGCCCCCCTTCCCAGGGCCCAGCTCACCGGACCTCCCTTACCTTCTGGAGAAATGCCATCCTCGGCCTGTACTGTTGGCCTTGGTGCCGGATTGTCATCTTGAACCCGGCACGAACTAGAACCAGAACAGAAACGGGAGACAGGAGGGGAAGCCCGAGCGGCGGAGCCCGCGCCCCGCACGCGGCCCGGCGTCCCCGCGCAGGTGGGGGCCTCGGGGCGGGCGGGGCGGAGGCTCCTGCGGCGCCCCTCACTCGGCTCGGCACACGCCCCTGGGAAAGCAGCTGGAACGCGCGCCAGCCAATCAGGGGGCCGCGCCGCGGGCTCATTAGCATGCACTGCGCTTGTGCCTACGTGCCGCCAGGGGGCGGCGTGGGAC